AAAATTATAGCAATTTGTAAAATTCAACAAAAGGTCCGCAAAAGGGAAAAATGAAATCTCCCACAAAATAGAAAAAAAATATGAATAATGGAGAGAAAAGACTTGGTGCAATGGCTCACACCTGTAATCCCAGCACTTTAGGAGGCTAAGGTGGAATGACTGCTTGAACCCAGGAGTTCAAGACCAACCTGGGCAACATCACGAGACCTCCTCTCTACAATAAAAAAATATATTAGCTGAGTATAATGGCATATGCCTGTGGTCCCAGCTACTTGGGAGGCTGAGGTGGGAAAATCACTTGAGCCCAGGAAGTTGAGGCCACAGTCAGCCATAATCACGCCACTGCACTCCAACCTTAGCAACACAGCAATCCCATCTCAAAAAAAAAAAAAAAGGGGGGGTGAATATGAAAAGGAAGTAATCAAGAAGGGTACAATATCTCACTAATATAGTTCCAGGAAGTGAGAGCAATAAATACAGAATTAAGGAAATTATGAAATAAAATTTTCACAACCAAAAGGCCCACCAAAACAGACACAACATTGCTGAAGCTGAGGAGGGATACAGATCCTAAAAGCTTTCAGGGAGGGTGATAAAGAGTATCAAGGAGGCCGAGCGTGGTGGCTCATGCCTGTAAACCCAGCACTTTGGGAGGCTGAGGCAGGCGGATCACAAGGTCAGGAGATAGAGACCATCCATGGTGAAACCCCGACTCTACTAAAAATACAAAAATTAGCTGGGTGTGGTGGCATGTGCCTGTAGTTTAAGATACTCAGGAGGCTGAGGCAGGAGAATTGCTTGAACCTGGAAGGCGGAAGTTGCAGTGAGCCAAGATCACGCCATTGCACTCCAGCCTGGCAACAGAGCGAGACTCTGTCTCAAAAAAAATTTAAAAAGTAAAAAATAAAAAAAATAAAAGAGGCCAAGTGCAGTGGCTCACGCCTGTAATCCTAGCACTTTGGGAGGCCAAGGTGGGTGGATTGCCTGAGCTCAAGAGTTCGAGACCAGCCCAGACAACATGGTGAAACCCCGTCTCTACTAAAATACAAAAGAAATTAGCCAGGCGTGGCAGCGTGCACCTGTAGTCCCAGCTATTCGGGAGGCTAAGGCAGGAGAACTGCTTGGACCCAGGAGGCGGAGGCTGCAGTGAGCCAAGATCACGTCACTGCACTCCAGCACTCCAGCCTGGGCTACAGAGTGAGACTCCGTCTCTACAAAAATAAATAAATAATTTTAAAGAACAAAAGAGTATCAAGGAAAAGCACAGAAATAAAAAGGGCTACTGCTTCTCCAAAGCAATACTGGAACCTAGAATACAATGGATCAATACTACCGAAATTCTGCAAGCAATTTTCCACCTATAATTCTGTATCCAATAAGACCTATCAGTAAGTATAAGGGTAGGAGAGACATTTCAGGTCTGGAAGGTCTAATAAACATTTGTCTCCCCATGTATCCTCTCTCAGAAAAGATGTCCTCCACAACAAGGAAGTAAACTAAAAAGATGACAAAATGGAATCCAGGAAACTTGGAGATCCAAGAAAGGAGATGTTACCAGAGGAGGGTACCCAGGTTCTTGGCGCTTTGAGCAAAGAATAGGACAAAAGCACAAACAAAGGTGAGCAAAGAATAAAGCAACAAAAGCAGAGATTTGCTGAAAATGACAGTATACTCCACAGGGTGGGAACAGTCAGAGCAAGGGAGTCAAGGACCCAGTTACAGAATTTTCTGGGGTTTAAATACCCTCTAGAGGTTTCCTATTGGTTACTTGGTGTACACCCTACCTAAATGAAGTAGTGGCCCATGATCAGTCTGAAGTTACAAAGTTACACCCTATGCCAAAGACCAGTCAGAGGCTGAAGTTACAAAGCTATACTCCTATGCAGATGAAGACTTGGCCTGCCACCAGCGTAATTAGTTGCAGGAGGGGACCAATCAATGGTAATTTCAATTTTTCACCTGCCACACAGAAAAGTGTGGGGAGGTTGCAAAGTCGGTAGCCTCTGGTCCTTTTGCTACTCACGCATGGAATCTCAGGGTTTTCCTTTTCATTTAATTCTAGGAAGTCAGCGTGAATTGGTCTCAGATTCCCTGCCTCCAGACCCTAAAGTTCTCCTGCCTCAGAGACAAGCAAAATGAATTATAAGGATGAGATGTGAAGGGAAGGTAGTTTAGTAATTCTAGAAAGTAATCAATACTCTAGGGCTATGACCAGGGGTGGGGGGATAATAGATCACCTAATGATGCATAGTTTACGAGCGTTTGAGAAGAATAAAGTGATCCACACACAGAAAATTAACTGAATGAAAAAAGTAAACCAAGAAAGAGAGAACATGCAAGATATAAAATGAACTAGGGAACTTTTTTGGCTCATTGCTGAGCAACATTTTTATTTTTAGAACTACTCTAAGAACAGATGTAACTATACTGAGAGAATTGGAGAAGGTAAAAGAATGAAATCCTTATATATCATAAATGGAAGTTAATAGGTTACACCTAAAATTGATGTAGCAACAGCAATATAAGAAGAGTATTTCAGAATACTATATAAAGGTTAATATCAAAACCAGCCTGGTGTGGTGGCTCACGCCTGTAATCCCAGCACTTTGGGAGGCCAAGGCGGCCAGATCCCGAGGTCAGGAGATCAAGACCGTCCTGGCTAACACGGTGAAACCCCGTCTCTACTAAAAATACAAAAAATTAAGTGGGCCTGGTGGCAGGCGCATGTAGTCCCAGCTACTTAGGAGGCTGAGGCAGGAGAATGGTGTGAACCCGGGAGGCGGAGCTTGCAGTGAGCTGAGATCATGCCACTGCACTCCAACCTGGGGGACAGAGCGAGATTGTCTCAAAAAAAAAAACAACCAACCAACATCTGAAAAAGGTGAAGACAGAAAGAAGGGTGAGGAGACAGGGGACACAGGGACTTTTTTATTATAGGCATTTCCCTGCCAACTAATTTTTTTTTTTTAAACTCTGTATTACTTATGTTGGTACACCAATATCATACATATTCTTCCACCATCTGAGCTTATCTTATTTTCTTCTCAGTCTCATTCCTGCCTGCTAAAAGTATCTAAGTAGAATTATATGCTGCCCACCTAAATAAAATGCACTTATGTTTTTGAAATGCAATGATAAAAATTTCTAAATGCCTCATATAAAATATGTAGCTTTAATTTTAAAATTAATACTAAGTCAACATTCATGAGGAATCTACATGTCAAAATAAAATTCTTTGCAGGTTAGGTTTTAGAATTCCATCTAGCAACAAATATTCCAATGGGTCTAATATCATTTCCCTAGCCTAGTTCTGCTGAAAGCATGAAAGGATTCTGCTGAAAGCATGAAAGGACTATTACTCTACAGTATTCAACCTCACCAAAAACTGTTTTATGTATCAGCTAATTTATGAAAAGCACTACTTTAAACGGCGGTCAGTATCAATAGTCCATTGGCCAAACAAATTTCTTGATGCCAAAATAAAAGGCAGAGCCTTAAAGAGTGAACCACATATGCGTACGCTGGCCAGGCGTGGTAGCTCATGCCTGTAATCCCAGCACTTTGGGAGGCCGAGAGCTTGCAGTGAGCCAAGATCACACCATTGTACTCCAGCCTGGGCAAAAGTGAGACTCCGTCTCAAAAAAAAAAAACAAAAAGAGTGAACCACATACATTTAACCTATTTAAAAGCAATGGCTTCTAAAACTATTCTAAAAAATAAAATTTATTAAAACAATGAAAACATAAAAATAAAAGCTTCAAAGACTAAGCACAAATGACAAGTATAAAATGTACTACTTTTAGCCTGGAAACCTGACAGAGAACTTCACCCTGGCTGGCATCCAGAGTTCTTATACAGAAGAAATTCCTGAAATAAAGTTAAAGAGTTGATAGGTAGGAGATAATAAAGAGCTTTAAATACCTGCTAAGGAATATGGAATTTCCAAGATATAAACCTAACTCCATTTTGTAGTAAGCTTAAAACAAGCAAAACAACAACAACAACAACAACAACACTTACAACATGAGGAATTATGCTCTGTGGTAGCGGAGCTTCTGTCATACATGATATTCCTTTGCAGATGTGTATATGCCCTTTCCCTAATTTAGTCTTCAATTTATTCTCCTATTCCTTTCTCTTCCCATTTTCTGAGTTAGTTTTCCTCCTATTCCATTCCCAATCATTAAATTAACAAAATGATGATAATCTGGTAAACAAACATGTGTTATTAACCTCCCTAATCTTTTTTTTTTTTGGGGGGGGGGGGACAGCAAGTAGAATGTATTGGTGAGTATTAAGAGGCCGCAGCACAGTGGAAGCCCTCATGAGTGCAGGGCCAGCCACTTGTCCAGAGGGCCATGACTGGGGATGTACTTGAACCCACAGCCATCTAGGATGAGCGGCTTCTCAGCCACCATGTCTTCAAATTCATCGGCATTGAACTTGGTGAAGCCCCACTTCTTTGAGATGTGGATTTTCCAGCTGGGGAACCTGAACTTGGCCCTGCGCAGGGTCTCAATCACATGCTCCTTGTTCTGCAGCTTAGTGCAGGTGGACATAACTTGGCCAGCATGAACCCTGGACACAGTGCCCTGGGGCTTTGCAAAGGCACCTCGCATGCCTGTTTGGAGCCTACATTGGGATAGCGCAAGGTCAGAAACATGAACATACATCTGAAAGGCCTGTCTCCAAGGTCCCTTAGAGCAACCCATACAACAAACAGGCTGCATATACTACCAAGGAAGCTGCCGTTTTTTTTTTTTTTTTTTTTTTTTGAGACGGAGTCTAGCTCTGTCGCCCAGGCTGGAGTGCAGTGGCCAGATCTCAGCTCACTGCAAGCTCCGCCTCCCGGGTTTACGCCATTCTCCTGGCTCAGCCTCCCGAGTAGCTGGGACTACAGGTGCCTGCCACCTCGCCCGGCTAGTTTTTTGTATTTTTTAGTAGAGACAGGGTTTCACCGTGTTAACCAGGATGGTCTCGATCTGCTGACCTTGTGATCCGCCCGTCTCAGCCTCCCAAAGTGCTAGGATTACAGGCTTGAGCCACCGCGCCCGGCCGGAAGCTGCTGTTTGCAGCGACTGCACACTGGGGCCCCCATAAGGAAGGGAACTCAGTTGGCTTAATTGGCTGCAGGACCTCCGTCATGTTATAGCCAAAGTAGAGACAGCTATATGACTGTTAAACAGCACTTAAAAATGATGACACAGATAACACTTGATCACAGAGACTGACCACGGTTAACTGTACCTGAAATATCAGACCATAAAGTATACATATAGTAAAACCACATTTTTGTAAAATTTAAAACTGTACTGTTCGCAATCTCTCACACCATGGATATACACAAAAAGTTACAAGTTGTTACTCTGAATCGTGGCATGTTTTTGTATTTAACTTCGATTCTCTAGTTTATCAAAGTTTCTTTTCTTTCCCTACAATGACTGTATCATTTAAATAAGAGAAAAAATAGTATAAAATACTAAAATCTTTTTTGCGACATAGTCTTGCTCTATCCCCCAGGCTGGAGTACAGTGGCGTGATCTCAGCTCACTGCAACCTCTGCCTCCCAAGTTCAAATGATTCTCCTGCCTCAGGCTCCCGAGTAGCTGGGGTTACACATGAGCACCACCACACCTGGCTAATTTTTGTATTTTCAGTAGAGACGGGGTTTCATCATGTTGATCAGGCTGGTCTTGAACTCCTGAACTCAAGTGATCCACCTCCCTGGGCCTCCCGAAGTGCTGGGATTACAGGCATGAGCCATTACCCTGGGCCAAAAATCTTTACAATGCTTGTAAATATTGAATTATTGTTAACATACTTTTTTTTTTTTTTTTTTTTTTTAAGATGGAGTCTCACTCTACTGCCCAGGCTGGAATGCAGTGGCACAAATCTCAGCTCACTGCAACCTCCGTCTCTGGGTTCAAATGATTCTGATGCCTCAGCCTCCTGAGTAGCTGGGATTACTGGTACACACCACCACCCCTGGCTAATTTTGTATTTTTATTAGAGATGGGGTTTCACCATGTTGGTCAGGCTGGTCTTGAACTCCTGACCTCAGGTGATCCACTCATGTTGGCCTCTCAAAGTGCTGGGATTACACACAGAAGCAACCACACCTGGCCTACCATACTATTTTTGAAGTGAACATTCTCCATTATCTATATTGTAGTTAATACACTACAAAAACAATTTATGACCACTGATAATCTTATGAAAGCTTTTTTTCTTCAGGAAACTTATAAATAACATGTTGTATGAAATATCACGGGTTTATCAGCACGCTAAGGTTCACTTATGGACTCACCTGGTCCACGGCCCCCAAGTTAATGATGCCTTTTGGAGATTATACATGCTTTATTAGTACCTGTTTATCCCCTAATGAGAACCACAATCTTAATCTAGGCAACAATATTTTCTGAAGCTCAAGAAAATAATTTAGGGGAGGAAGAGAGGGAGATGAGAATAGACAAAAATTTTCACTACAAAGCACTGTGATCTAACTAATTTATTTTTACCTGTTCTCCCTTCTATCAGCACGAACAATTAAGAGTATAACATTCCACTTTTGTTACTACGAGCTAACAACTGTTCATACTTATTGACAGGTGAACAAAATTACAAATTATTCAATGTTCTCCAGCTTAGCTTTACATCTTAATTTGTATTTCATTTTCCAGAACAAATTTTAACAAATTTAATTAAAATAGGTGTTTATTAAGTCCTTTTAGCAAATACAGAGCTAAGCACTTTGTTTCCTTACAATGTCATTAAGACAGTAGTAGCTTTATTATTATTCTATTTCCACCAATGAGGAAGTGAGAGTTTATACAACTTAACTAATTTGTCATAATCACTCGTTCACAGGTGATGAAGCAGGACTAGAATCCTTGTCTATCTAGAGCCAAGGCCACTTTTTTTTTTTTTTTTTTTAAACAGAGATGGGGTCTCGCCCTGTAGCCCAGGCAGGTCTCGAACTCCTAGGCTCAAGTGATCCTCCACCTCACAGCCTCTCAAAGAGACAGGCACGGGCCGCCACAACCTGCCAGGCCACACTTTTCTTAATCACTACATTCTAGGACAACACGAGGTAAACCACAGGCTCTCTATGGTTTGGAGGCAAACACTTTGATATTCTAATAAGATCTAAGAATTACTGCCTAAAACTGCACATATGAAAACCTCCTTTATAATTTCATTGCCATCCACAGACTCTTGGTTAAAACTTCATAATACAGGGATTAAAAATAAGCTAGAATACAAGTCTATTAGGAATGAGAAAATATAACTCCCACCCCATCTCCACCAATAACTAGTGATGAGATTTTAGGAAAATGATTTTGTTTCTCTGGATTTCATTTTATTCAGTGGCAAACTTATAGATCCTGAAATCAGAAGTGTAGATTTTTTTTCCTAGTATAACATGTTGCCACCCTAGCTGTAGTTACAATAATTAAAACTCAAGATTATGACTCAGATGCAACATTTCTCAGCAAATCACTGTGGACTATTAAAGTTCACCTTCAATCATAAACATATTAGTATTATGTAATATTCATCCATTCCATCCATAATGCAACAGTAACCACTGCTAAATTTACTGAAATTCAGTGAGACTGAAAAAGAAATGCCAATAATGATGGTACAGAATGTTTACATAAAATCCACAAACTCTTTTGCAACAAGGGTATCTGCCAACTTTACTGAAAGAAGCAAAAAGGATATTAGCGTAGAGCAAATGTTATTTGAAGCTAAACTATTCAGCTAAACTCTATGTTCAGCTAGACTGTATACCTCAGAACATTCATTTATGTATCACTGCATTTAACATGTTCACTGGCACACAATGCTTCAAACATTCTTATCCATTAAAATGTTTTAGAAAGACTAAGTTTAAACTAGGTAGGCACAGAAGTTAAAATAATGTTTATTTTCATTTGTTTATTCAAGGGAAAAAATTATTAGCAAAGACTAGTTAAAATCACACTGAGGAACAGGAATCCTTGTTATAAACTTCGATTATATTAACATTTGTTTTCCTAAAATTTTATTTCCTATAGTCTCAATAAATGTATTATTTAGAAACTGGTCTGATATACATAATTACAGAAAAGAAACAGATAGCAAGTGGCTTAAAAGTATCCCCTATCACAATGACTTTTCTAAGGATTAAGATTGTTACAAGCCTTTAGCTACACCATAAAAATTATTTAATCTCTCAAAACAGTTATTTTTCAGATTTTCTGTCACTCTCATATCCCTAAATAAGGAGGGGTCAAAGAAAGAAACTGTTATTTATGCCCATGTTTTAAAAACAGAATCATGATCGACCTCATGAGTAAAGATTTAATAAATACTGACAAACTGTCATTTAGTAACTAATGGTATCTAACCCAACATCCTAAAAAGAAAATGTGACAATAAAAATGGCAACTTATAACACAACTCACAAAAATTAGTCTTCAAAATACCTAAAGATGCATACCTCTGTGTCCAGGAATTGATATAAGTAAATATTTTGAGAGTATGTTCCTTTCTGAGCTGCAGTCCATCACCACCTTCTACATCTGATACTGAAATAAAAAAGAAATTTTAAAATTATTAATAATGCTAAACCAGTATTAAAGCCAATAAATAGTTCAAAATAAAGTCAAGAGTTACAAATGTAAACATTTCAGATAATCATTCTTTTGCTTCCAAAGAAAATAAGTCTACTTTTAATTAATAACTCATCTGAGCTTAAGAACAGATTTTTGACAGATGTAAGGGGTGAGGGGGCCGGTGAGACTTCGCCACTTATTCTGGGATTATCTCTCATCTCCAAAACCACCCTTCTGTTGTGATGCTGAGGCTGGGACCATGCAAGCTACATTTTTCATTTCCAGCTGTCTTCCTGTTAAGATCTTGTTCCTCCAGTGCCTATAGGGTACTAGAAGAAGGCAGGAGGAGAGACCAAGGACTTGTCAGCTTGCTGTATCTGAAAGCAGTAGCACTGATTCTAGCCTCCAGCTTAGTATTCCAAGAACCAGTCTCATGGCACTCCTCTCAGGTGTATCAGCAGTAGCCACAGAGCATACACCTTCCTTGAAGTCATAGCTTCCTTCACACGGCCTTCCTCTTTTGATATAAGGAAGCTTGAGAGCATTCAGTTCTCATTAAAAGACCATTTCCCAAAATAATAAAAATTGAACATAATCATTCTCATAATTCCATCATTTTAATGCCTTTTACCTTCTTCGGCTGGTCCACACAGCTTTACAAAGTAGAAAACATAAGGGTCTTTGAAGCCACTAAAGCAATTATTATGTATGTACAAGAAAGCATTTTTGAGGCTTATCAGCTTTTTCACTGTTTCTTTATATGTTGCTAGTGTCTTCTCTTTAATCCCCAGAAATCTTGCCTGGATTTCTGCATCACATTAATGTGAGGAGAAATCCCCTATGAAGCAGTAAGATGTCCCACTATACTAATATTTTTCCTGTACCAAATACATACGAGGTTAGTTTACATTTAAAACACACACACACACACCCCTTCTACTTAATCAGACTATATACACAATGTTAAGACTTACAGCACACTTCCTCAACTCAGCTCCAAAAATGCTGGTAAGCTGAACTAGGAGGTTGGAAGATTCCTCTCTGGTAATACTGATTAACCAAGAAGGGGTTTAAAAAAAATTACCTCGGCCAAGGAGAAAAGGAAAAGGCGTCAGGCCAAAATATATGTGGAACAGTCACAAGGTAGTAACACCTACACCCAAGACCAGGCTTTTGGGACCTACATCACATCTGAAGCCCTGGAAGCCGTAGACACTACTGACCATCAGAGAGAAGACTCAGGCAACAAAGCCTATTAACTAGGACAGAATAAGATAAAGTGGGGGCCTAAGATGAAGCAACCACTAAAAACAACCTCTGGCATCGTATGATTTCAGCAAGGTGAAGAAGGGATCACAGTACACTCTGTCAGTTTTCCTTCCCCAGCCTTAACAGTGCTTAAAAACACAGGGAAGAGTGGCTACAACCATCATATCCCTCTCTAACAAAAAACACACAGGGCACACATTCTGAAAAAAGTTTGTGTGGTCAGAAAACCACCCTCACCAGAGGCCCGCCTGGCAGCCTAACTGC